GTGCGAATGACGTACTAGCAGCGAACACTACCCCCAGATGCCCCACGCTAAGCAAACCACTCACGAAGCTTTTGGGGCGAAGGGGTCTCACGCGGACGTTGCTGCTGCTGCCGCTGACCACCACCAGAACCTCCCCTCTGACCGGTTCCACCCCGACCGCCACCTCTGCCGCCGCCACCACTCCCACTTCCTCCACCACTGCCGCCGCCACCACTCCCACCGCCACCACTACCGCCGCCACCAACACCTCCACCGCCTCCACCGCCTCTACCACCGCCTCCACCGCGGCCATCCCCACCACCCTTGCCTCCCTTGCCCCTGCCGCTGCGGCGCCTCCCACTGGGAGCAGACGTAGCCCCGACCTCCTTAGCACGAAGGAAGTCAACAGCAGCAGCAGAAGCATAGGAGAGGGCAAGGCGGGAGGGGGAACACTCCTCAAAGAAGGGAGTGCAAGGAGTGCCACGAGCAGCACCTACAGCGACTATGCTAGCCTCAGCTGAAAGGAGGTGCTTCTCGAGCAAGTCGACAGTGAGGTCCGTGGGGTCAATGGCAAGAAAGAGGTCCCTGACTTCGCTAAGAGAGACAGGGAGGCGGGTGACGATGAAGTAGAGAGCGATGTACATGGGGGGAGGGGGGGGGGGGGGGGGGGGGTGGGGGGGTTCTTGTCTAGAAACTTGGTGGGAAGCGCGGCACGGTAGCGAGTGTCAATAGTGCGAAGGTGGGTGACTATGTCGTCGACTCTGGCAAAGGCGGACAGCTCGGGAAAGAGGTAGGGCAGTATAAGGCGACCGAGAGCAGAAGTGGCAGGAGAGGAGTAAGGAGCGACTACAGCGTTGTACAGGGCTTTAGCAGTCTTGTGCTGGTCAAAGTGAGCGCGTTCAGCTAACGACAGGTGGTTGCGAACGGCTAAGCGAGCAGCAACGTCACGGGTAAGCCACTGTGAGCGAGTCGCACTGTCAGCTGTGTCGGGAGGGGCGAGAGAGGCTCCAGACGTGTGGTCAAACAATGAAGCGCTATCTCTAGAATCGCTGAGTAGGTACAGCTGTAAGTCATCAAGCCACGTATCGAATTGGATCGGAGGACCCTCAGGATCGAAGGTGAGAACGCTGAGAGTAGCCATAGTGAGCAGAGCAAGGCGGCGCAGGACCAGCAGAGCAGCACGCAGGCAAGGCAGTGCGGCGCGCAGGCAGCAGGACGGCGCGACGAGCAGGGCGGTGCGCGGGCACTAGGAAAGCGCGCAGGGCAGGGCGAGGCGGCGCACGGCCAGGGAAGGGGGGCGCGCGGGCCCTAGGGCGACGCGACGGGCAGGGCAGGGCGGCGCGCGGGCCCTAGGGCGACGCGACGGGCAGGGCAGGGCGGCGCGCGGGCCCTAGGGCGACGCAACGGGCAGGGCAGGGCGTCGCGCGGCTTGCAGGGCGGCGCGACGGGCAGGGCAGGGTGTCGCGCGGCTAGCAGGGCAGCGCGACTGGCAAGGCAGGGCGGCGCGCGGGTCCTAGGGCGACGCGACGGGCAGAGCAGGCCGGCGCGCGGCCAGCAGGGCGGCGCAACGGGCAGGGCAGGGCGGCGCGGCAGCCAGCAGGGTGGCGCGCGGGCAGGGCAGAACGACGCGGCAACGAGCAGGGCGGCGCACGGGCAGGGCAGGGCAGCGCGACTGGTGGGGCAGCGCTACGGCAGGGTAGGGCACTACGAACAGGGTAATGCGCTACAGGCAGGGAACTATTCGGTGGGCCCTAAAAAACGGTCCAGGAACAGGACGTGCTCTGAAACCATGTCAGAAACTAGACGAAGGGATGAATGCATTGAGTAGGAAGTTGGTACAAGTACTAACCCTATTTGGGTTGTACCCCTTATGGGCTACCCCACTATAACCTACACAACACACACAACATAATAGTTTGATAGAAACTCCTTGTATAGAAGTATTTTCTGCTGAACGGCGTTGTAGTCTTGATCTTCGTCACCTTGGTGATGCTAGTCCTAGTCCCCATCATTAAACCTTTGTCCAGCTGTGACCTTTGTCCAGCTGTTGTTGCACTCGTTGGTGCGCTTGTGCAGGTGAGTGAGGCGATGAAGAATCTGCTACTGGTGCAATGGGTGGCTGAGTCATATCTGCACTCGTAATTCAGTGGTCTAATAAATCCAAGTTGCTCTTGTACCATGCTGGAATGAACCCTTAATATATGTTGAAGGATCGTAACACTCTTGGATAGATAGACTTGCATGCGTAGCGGAAGTTGTAAGTTAAATATTTTTGAATAATTTGCTGATAATAGAATGCAGTGCATGACAATCTATATCTAGGCAGAAGTACCTATTAGCTAATGTACATGTTCAATGATGTAAACGAATTGTATGCTTTTGCTACACTAAAGCCCTATCCGCTGGCGTCATCATTTCTAGTGAAGCATAACTCGCAAAAATGTGACTCGCTACTGTAGCTAACGACTTTGTGATTCATTGGAATTTAAAACAATGATGTACCTCCAACAATCATAATGTGTGACTGCTGACGAATAGGCTGATTTGGTTTGTTTTTGCATTGGCCTGCAAATTGGCCATTTCTATATAGTTTGGCTTGGTAAGTTACCAGATTGCATGGCTGACGTTCTTCCTTACACGTAACGGATACATAGCTATGTCTGAGATGTAGCGTATTGGCTTGTGAAGAATGGTGTAAGGAGATTATCTTCATTCCTTTACCGCGCACCTCAACATCGCATACAGGACCAACCGTTTCTTTGCCCGTATCGCTAACGGTGTTTCGCCGCCTTCGCATGTCACTTTTGCCAAACCTTGCACCACTAGCCCGGCCCGAGTCGGCCTACGCTTTGGGAATAGCCCGAACTTCACGCCAGCTTTGCACTAGCTCGCTCGCACGCACCGCGTTATCGTTTGTATGCTTCGCTATCTATGTTCGCTCATGCCTTTGCTCACATCTTGAACTCGTTTGCCAATTGAGTGCAATCCTTGTTACCTCGATACATTGCACCCGTAACACTTGGCTATTAGAGCCACTTTCCTTTTCGGACCGCGCATTTCCGCAACCAGTGGTAGCCAACTTTTGATTTTTTTTTCTCACTCGAAGGGACTCGACGCCAACCAGCGTACTAGGAGCCACTGCCCTCGCACTCTCTCGCAAGCAACCACGACTATGCCTAGCACCTAGACCGACCGATATCCATCGACATGGGGGACTGCATTGATCTTGCGATTTTCACGCAGGCGGACGAGTTGACACAATAACTGCACAAAAGCATCGAATAAATTGCCGCGCTAACGGCACAACGTACGTCACTGCAAAACGACATCGCACAGGTGCAAAAAACACAAACACAAGGAACAGCAGCAGATGGAGCACTATCGACATCTCGACACGAGAGCGTGGGGCTGTTGGGTACGATGAATCCATACATCATTTATTGTACTTGTCAACGTGCTGGCTTTTATCAAGGAATGTATATGGCACCTAAGGCAAATGGCGAATCTCTAAAAGCTGGGTGTGGAATCGACCTATTAGAGTGAAGCACGGAGGAGAATGTGGTGTTCTGAGTAGGAGAGGCGAAATTCAGTTCAGCCTCTTGATTTCGACAAATGGGAGCAAGACGAGGATAAAGACGTGGTGTTCTGAGTTGGAGGGGCGAAATGAACATTGACCATTGGAAGGGGTTGCTGTTCAAAACGGAAGTCTGACTTTGAGGCAGCAGCAAGCTGATCGAGATGGGTCAGCAGCTGTTCGGGTTGCGTTATTGTTTCTGCAACAGTGATTAGCCACTGTTCACGCGGAGCGTTCATCACTAAGCGAGCAGGTACCTGCGCTGCTACATTTCGGGTGTTCGAATTGGCTGGTGGTCGAGTTGGCAGTTGCTCAAGTGTTCGAGCGAGCAACTGCTCGTGCCACGTGAGGAGTAACGCGAGTGTTACCCGCTTGCGAATTGTTTTTAGCGCTGGTGGCGAAACCAGCGAGGTGTTCGAGTGAGTTTGTTCTGAACACCACTGACAGCTTGGATCGAAAGGGTGTTCGTGCCTCGAGAGCGAGGCACATGTGGCGAGTCACGGTTCGCTGGAAGCGTGAGCTAGAAAATGCTCGCGCCCCCAAGTTTCGACGCGAACGTTTGGCTCGCTGCTGCTGTCGGAGCTGCTATTCGAACACTGTTCCAACTTCGCTCATCTCATCATGTCTAGTCAGAGTCTTTTTTTTCCCGTGCTTGAACCCACCCTAACTGAAAAATGTCGAACTCCTCTCCGCCTCCCGCAACCTCAGGACGCCTCCTCACCCTCTGCTTTGCTGCCGCGTCAGCCTGCATGCCAGGACCATTGTCCTCTGGCTTCTGTCTCTCCAGGTTTGGCCTGTGGTAGGTGAGTTCTGCTGTTCCGCTTGTTTGTGGTTTGTGCATGGTTTTCGCTCGGTTTTTGCTCCGGTTTTCTTGGTGTTCTTGCAGGTTAGGCCCTCTTCTCCTCATGTGGTTCGGCTGCTTTTGGATCGGTTATGTTGGCTTTCTCTGCAGGAATTGTTGGGTTCTACTCTCCTCTCACTCTTTGGTGGTTTCCACAGGCCGTCCTTTTGTCACAGCACCTTTGTTGTTCGCACACGGCAACTGCTCCCTTGGCTGTCTGCTCTCCTCGTCCTCCTCACTGCCCGGCGTTGTAGGAGGTTTTACGCTCTCTGGAAAACCCTGCTTTCGCAACTCTTCTCTCTCCACGTCTACTCTCAGCCATGCACTCGTGCTTTGGTGACACGTTATGCTGTGACGGCGCGTACTCATGCGTGTTCTCTCCATGCACGCTACGTGGCTCCCCCTTTCCTCGCTGGATCCTTGTTGGTTACTGTGTGCCTAGGCCATCGCCAAAGCCACGACCTTGTCTCTCTTGAAACTGGAACATTTAATGTCCCCTCCTTGATGCGATGCGTCGAGCCAACCCTCTCACCCCTTCCGCGTCGGACCGCGCTTCCTTGCTACAAATCGACGTACCATGACAATCCGTCCTTACCACCTGGCGCTATGGACCCTCAGCACAACCTAGACAAACTCATGGGAGAGGAGGAGCTTGGTGCCTCCTTCTCGGTCGACTCCTTCTTTGCCGAGGATGTAGTCACCCCCGCTGTCTCTGCTCCGCCCCCCGCGAAACGCGTCTGTGCTGCTGGTTCATCCAGTTCTGCGCCTGTGGCTCCCCGTACGGCCCTGGTGGTGCCGCCAGTCACTCCGGTCATGGCTCCCGCAGCCGGTCCCTCCTCGGCTGCGCCTGCTCCGTCAACGTCGACCCAGGAAGCTAATCCTGTGGTCGCCCTCGCCATCACCGGCCGGTATCAGCGCCTCCGGCGCAACCGTGAGACTGTGGGAGTCGTCGTCGCGGCTTTGGCCCATGACACCGATGCTCTTGTCTTGCTCCCTGAGGCTCTTGAAGCGCATCGCAGTCGGATCCTAACCCGCGTCCGCAGTATCCTGCGTGGCCGTGACTTCGCTGGTGGCCGTGTCCCTGTGTTCGAGGCCTCTGCAGGCGAACTTCTGCGCCTTCCCCGTCGCTCGTATTGCCGTCACATGCTTCAGTGGCCGTCGGCTGATGACGCGAACCGGTTCAAGCAGCTCTTGCCGATCACCTATCGCTCGTCCGAAGGACCTACCGCGGAGATCAAGGTTTACCAGGATCCCGCTCCCGACTTTTCTGCGGCAAAGGCTCGCGGCGAAACAGTGCTGGTTTTGCGTAATGTGCCCGTGGGCTTTGCTGTCCAGACGCCCCGCTCTCTCCTCGTGTCGAGTGCTTCAAATGGTGCTAGGTGGCTCGGTGACCTCTTGTTCTTTCACAAGCTTTTTGATCCCTATGAGGAATCCTTCCTCCCACAGATGCTTGGTATCGCAGTCGCGCCTCCCAACGACCCACTTTTCGAGGCCATTCCCGCGGTGATTTGGGTACCCAACGTCCAAGAGCCCATCTTGGTGAACGTCTCGGCACACTCCTGGATGGTGTGCTCCAGCAATCATCGGACGCGCGACCACAGCAACTTCGCGGCGGTTCGGAGGAACCGTATCACCAACCCGTTTGTCATCACTCTTGGGCAGCTCCAAAATGTCAATGGTACTCGCCCTTCTTCCACTTCAGTTTCACCTGCTGCCCACGTGCTCTTGTGCTCTGTTTTATTTGGGTTTCGCTCCTTTGGTTTCCCACCTCTTGACGGATCCTACCTTCTCTGTTCTCGCTATGATCTGTGCTGGCTCTACTACGTTTTGACCTCGCTTTTGGTATGGCACTACCTTCCCCGCATGCCTCTCCTGGTGTTATGGTCTGGTTCTCTCGGTTCTCTCCCCCTGGTATGTTCCAGCCAGGATCATCGGACAGCATCCCGCAGTGGCTTCTTTCAAGGCAGACCCGGGCACTTTCTTCATCGGGACAGACCTCGAGGTCGAGGTCTGGACTTGTGTCCTGTGCTCCTACAGCTGTGGCTGGGCTCTGGACAGTGCGATGGATCACATCGCCTGCGCCTCTCACAAGGCTGCCATTCAGATGACTGTCGGAAACGTCACCCCCCTGGAAGAGTTTGGGGATGTGAAAGTGCATGTCTTCACTCGGAACCAGGCCATTGTCGCCTTCCTTCCGCAGGGATAGGTTGGCGCTGCAGTTGGGTGATACGCTCTGAGATGTGCTTGTATCTTACCGTCTCTGTCATGATGTATCAACTTTACAATTCCATACCTCCCGGCTCGATGTCATGGGACACTCTTAACCATCTTTCTATCTCCAGCTCTCTTACTGAAGGTGTACCCTTCTTCTGCCCCTGTGGATGTGTATTCTACGGAATGCATGGGGCTTCTGCCTTTGTTAAATAATGGATACACACCTTAAACTACAATGCATTAATGTCAATGGCCTTAATACTCCTCAAAAACTGGACGCTCTTAGATCCTGGTTCTCTAGGAAGCCAGTGGACATTCTAGTGCTTACTGATACTAGGCTTACCACCAACTTCTCACACCTTCTTTTCAATTTAAGACCTAAGGCCTACGCACAAGTCCCTCCCCGCCTCTCCTCCTCCGCTCAGCCTAAGCCGGGTGGGATTGCTGTGTTAATTTTCCATCCCAGTGTTTCTATTTCTAGCAGATCTTCAACCGGCGATGGCAGATGTTTATATCTTCATTGTAACTTTCTACACGAACAGTTTCGCCTCCTCGCAGTGTATGCTCCGAATTATTACCTACACCGACATGCGTGGTGGCTTTCTACAGTGAATCATTACCTCGAGCAACCTTCTGCGTGCGGCGCAACCATATTCACAGGTGATTTCAATGCGGTAGCTCTTCCCATTGACAGAAACCGTGACCTAAAGCCCATCGAACGCACTGAGGCGTCAATGATAGGAGAAACTATCAAGACACACGGCCTCACCGACTGCTACCGCCACAAGTTCCCTGACGAGGTCATTTTCTCCTTCTCATCCCTCAGAAGAATTAACGGCCCCAATTCTGCTTTCTCCTCCTCCCGTATTGACAGAACTTATATTTATGATCAATGGGCAGGACGCATCCACCACGCCTCCTATGTCTCGGTCCCGCACACCCTCTCTGACCACAACCGAGGGCCGCTTGTCGTGCTCCAGTTTCGGAACCTCAACATGGCCCCAAGGCCCTGGCGGCTTCCGCAGCAGTTAATCACCAAGCCATTTGTCCTCTCTTTGCTGGAACGGTCCTCACAGGAACTCCAGCCTGGATTCACCATTGACGACTGGGATAGGTGGAAGATCCGACTAAGCCGACAACTACAATGGTATAGCAAGGAAGAGAAGACCCGGGTGAGAAAGACCACCTCTTTTCTTTGTGATGAGGTATGCAATCTGCAACTTCACCTGCTCAAAAACCCGACTGACCTACAGGGTGCTAATCGCTTAGCTCTCCTTTCTGCAAGCTTGGAAGCATACGAACTCTCACGGGCTTCGGAAATTGCGCTTAAAGCAAAGCTTAAGGTGGAAGGTTCGAGGGAAATGGGTGTTTCCTCACTACTAGTGGGACTTCAAGGCAGAATTAAGGACTCCCTCATTCCCCATCTTAAGCTTCCCTCAGGTGACAAAATCTCCGGTTTACAGGCCATGACCTCCCACTGCACTGAATTCTTCTCCTCGCTATACAACGGTAACTCAACAATCTCGCGCGATCCCTTCTTCTGGAACCATGTCCGTCCGTCTGTTCTCCCCCCCACATGTAATGTCCGTTTAGACCTACCTTTCTCCCTCGCCGAAATCGACGCTGCCCTGGGTCGCCTCTCCAAAGGGAAGACCCCCGGGCCCGATGGGCTTCCTGGAGAGCTGTTTCGGTCTTACAAACACATCTTCTCTCCGCTTTTCCAATCTCTCTGCACTACCATCAATTCCCAGGGGCAGCTTCCAGGCTCCATGAAGACCGGCAGAACTGTTCTCATCCCCAAAAGAGGGAGCTCCGAGTTGGTCGCGAACCTCAGGCCGATTACGCTGATGAATGCTGATTACAAAATCATTGCTCTCATCCTTGCGCACCGCCTACAGGCTGCCCTTCCAAAAATCATTAATCCTGCGCAAGCGGCATTCATCAAAGGAAGAAGAATAGGTGACACTATCAATGATACTCTGGACCTCATGGAATGGGCTGCCTCACAAGGTGACCCACTTCTAATCCTCACTGTAGAAATTCGGAAGGCCTATGACATGGTTGACAGGCCTTTCATGTATGCGTGCCTGCAACACTTAGGCATTCCTCCCGGTTTCATCCGTTGGGCGTCCATGCTTCATTCCGACACCTCTACGAGAGTGTCAGTCAATTTCTTCTCTGGCCCCATCTTCCCTGTACGCTCAGGCGTTCGTCAGGGGTGCCCTTTAGCCCCCCTCCTCTTTGTCTGTGTGGTTGAAGTTCTGCAGAGATACTTACAAAGCTTCCTCCCCGGCTATGATTTCAATCAGTCGCAACGGCGTCTTGCAGCCTGCTATGCTGACGACATTTCTCTCTTTCTCAACTCTGCCTCCGAACTTCAGGTGACAACCCAAGCCCTCAGCACCTTTGCGGACATGTCTGGGGAACATCCGAACTGGGAAAAATGTTCTATCATTCCCATTAATATGCAAAACTCCCCCCTGCTCCGCTCCAGTCAGATTCCGGTCCGAGGCTCTAATGACCCCGAGAGGATCTTGGGCATCTATGTGGAACAGAGTCAGCCTGGGGCAACCACCTGGGATAACATAATTCTCCGTATCTGAGGCTGCACCAAGCTCCTGGCACAATGCAAAGCCACCACCACTTGCCGATCCCTTCTGTCAACAGAACGGCTCTCCTCCCTCTACGCCTATGGAGCTAGATTCCAACCCCCCCCCCTCCCCTATCATCACCACGATTGACCGTGTTATAGGCATTTTTCTCTCCAACTCACAATACAAGGAGCATGGGCTGGCGACACGCCGAATCCCCAAAAGGATTCTGTACAACAAGAAGAAACACGGTGGCGTTGGTGCGCTTGAACCTTCGGCACACATTCGTGCTTTAACTATCCAACGCGCCGTGCGGCGCTTTCGTGCCACTCCATACGAGGATATCGCCCAATCTTGCGTTCCTGTGCCGTTCGGGTTGCATTGCTACCTGGCTCATCCCTCAATCATCAAATTTCTTCCCCCGCAGGTTCCGTCTCGGTTTCGTGCAGAATTGGAAGCCACCTTACCCCTTCCTTCCGTTGTGAAGCCGCCTCGGTTGGACCCATGGAGCCTCATGGCTGAACCTATCGCCTTTAATCGATTCATCAGCAAAGAACCAAATGTACCTTTCGGCCGCGTCAAGAATGAGTTCTTCTTGCTCTCTGACCAAATCCGCCTAGGCAATTTGCTCATCTCCACACATACTGGAGCAAGACGGATGGAAGAAGAGGAGATCTTCGAAAAATTCCCCCCCTCTGTCTACCCAGGTAGCCGCACACTCATACTAAGCATCTTCGGCGCCATCCCTATCAGCTGGTGGGCCACCCTACGGAGATTCGCCCCGGGCAAAGACTATCTCGCTGTTGACGACTGGGTTCTGGAGGTTACCAATATCTTCCTCCCCAGCCGCATTTTTCGCGTCTCCTCTCTCCTGCCAGGTCTCAAAGCTCGTGTTCACATTTTCCCGGTCCTTCAAGGAAGACAGGTGGCGGCAGACAGCGTCGGGGACTGCACGGTCGCTCTCAAGGACGTGATCCCCGTACACGTCAAGGGACGCTGGCTCGTGGGGCCCTTCGACTCTGGCCCCGCTCTCGGCTCACGCCACGAATTGTTCGCCGGCTCTCCTTCGCTCTCGGACATCAGGAAGCTGCTTTACAAACCCCAACCTCTCAACCACCTGGAACAATGGAACGTCATCGTGCGAGATCCCATTCTTTTTCTTCCGGACTATCACCATTCCTTCCTCAAAGACCAACCCTCTAGACACCGTGACATCCTGTTCCGCCTATTCACCCTCACCCTGCCATCTGGTTCCAGATACCAATTTACAGCCACGGGTGGTGCGTGTCCTCGCTGCGGACCTCCCATGATTGAAGACCTACCTCACATGTTTTTCGACTGCGGTCATGCGCCTGCGGTAGTCGAGGCAATCCAACACGTCGCCTCTCGACACCTGAACTCCACGATCGAATCTGCAGCAGTTTTCTTCCCACTTCGACACTCGTCCAGCCTCATCGCACCGTGGTGTCTTCTTATTGGTGCTGCTGCCACAACACTCTGGCGCGACAGATGCTCTGCTCATTACGAACAAACAACGTATACTCGGCTCGAGACTCTACCGTATCTTGGCTCTCTTCCTGACTTCATGCAAGATCTATTTCAGCCGTCGCTCCAAATGGTCTGAAAAGAAAAAACGCGCCACCAACAATCGAGTCAAAGCCGCCACGGCACTTCGACTTCTCAATTTCGCGGCGGATGGAACTCCGCAGCTTCACCCAGCCCCGCGTGACTCTTGGCTGTTGAACGACATATTTCATCCCCCCTAGACGACTGTCACTCGTTAGCTGTACATTCCGATAAAGGCTTTGGCCTTCATTCTATCTCTAATAAACAAGTAATGCTGTTCTAGCGTAGGTCTTCTAGACCTTGGCTTTATGTCATGCTTGTGGAGTTGTACTGTATGCGGTTACGACCATAATAAAAACTTAAACTTAAAAAACTTAAACCAACTTCGCTCATCTCGAACGGATATGATCTAAACTGTTCGAGAAGGGCGCGAAGTTAAATTTAGGATTGGCACCGTCATAACTGTTTGCGCGCGAATTTCGAAATGTTTCGGCGTCGCGCGTGCCAGGTCAGAAAGGGAATTTGGAAATTCGATATGTGTTCGCGCTACGTGAATTGAAACAAGGAAAGTAGAGCTGGATAGGAAAACTAGAATAGACTAGGGTAGGTATAAAACCTCTTTGTGTTTGCTTGTTCAATATAACTTTAGTGGATTTTTCCTCCCGCGCTTGCTGCAACAACTCCGCCAGTGTTTAAGGTTTTGACAATGCCTAGAAGGAACGCCTGCTGCGACAACCTGCAAGCTACTCTCTCTATACACTCGAACCCTTGGATAGGGGCTGACGTTAGTCAGGCACCTAGGGACCCTTGGAGGTGACCCCGAGAAGAGTGCTGG